GCCTTTCCTTGGACCCGCACAACAAGCTAGGCGCCTCCCTGACCACCATCAACCGCTCCCCCCCCCTGTTGCGCATCGCCAACTTCCTCACCGCGTCGCAATGCGACGCCCTTATCGCCCTGCAAGCCGCCGCCACATCCGAGTCGGACCTGTATCTAAACTACCGCGTCAACCGCGAGCTCTCCTCCTCCCCCGTCTCGCGCGAAGCCGCCCGCCTCATCGCCGAGTTCCCGCTCGCGCGCGACGCCCTGCGCCCGTCCATGCGCTCCGGCTTCCGCGCCCAACTTCCCCCCGACGCCCCCCAGCTGCAACCCGTCCTGCGCGCAGTCTCCGACGCTCTCGGCTTCGCCGGAAGGCACTTCGTCTTCGCAGAGGGCCAGTGGGTACGCCCCACCCGCCGCACCGTCGTCGTCAGGGACCAGACTACCGTCCGATACCGCGTGGGAGAGGGCGTCGCCCCGCATGTCGACGGAAAGGACCTCACCGTCCTCGTGTGCCTCCACGCCCCCGAGGACGGCGGTAGGACCGTCTTTCCGGAGGATGGCGTCGCCGTCAAGCCGGAGAAGGGCGCCGCTATCGTCTATCGAAGTAAGGACGCCTTACTGCATTTTGCAGAGCCTGTTCATGCGGGCACCAAGTGGGTCATGCAGTTGCTTATTGACTACCACGTCAGGGCGGATGAGATGGATGTCGACTACCAGACGGGTACTGTCTTTTCATGAGTGACCGGTGATGTTTGGCTGCCGCCTTGCGATCTGCGTCTGGACGGCGGCAAGCATGTTGGAATGACGCCATACGGAACGTTTCTGCGGTGCGCAATTGGTGGTCATACACCACCTCAGATTTCGAGATTTTGATATATTACGAATTCATCACGTTCAGCATCTTCTCTTCGGGGCGCATCCCAGATCGGCACCATTCCCAAATGACACCGTTGCTTCCGCAGCCCCTGCCCCATCCACGCCGTACCTCCGTTCCTCCCTTCCGCACATACACACACACACAGATTCCACCACCTCTCCTCCATCATGCCGACGGAGCCGTCGGAGGCTACGCCCCTCCTGCGCACGCCCGCCGACCGCGTCTCCTTCGATGACACCGACCCCAACGCTCTCTCGCGCCATGAGCTCGCCGCTTGGATCATTGACGAGACCATGCGCGGCGCCCCCATCCGCGACCGTGCCTGCATCCCTCGCACGCGCCAATCGCGCAAGGCCTACCTCTTCTTCGAGAACACGCTCTTCGTGCGCCAGCTCGCGGCCCTAGCCCTGGTCTTCCTCTCCTTCTTCGAGACCCCGTCCTGGTGCTCGGCCGCGCGCCACTGTGCGGCCCCTGACAACTCCGATCTCTTCCTCTCCGGCCTGCCCTACCTCAACCCGGGCCTGCAGGTCACCGTCAACGCCGTCCTGCTCGCCGTCCTCGTCTTCTTCCTCGTCTTCGACGCCCTGGCCCTGCCGTCCGCCGCCCTGCACGCCAAGGAGCGCCAGCTCTTCGCCGTCCTCGCCCTGCTCGTCGCAGACTGCGTCTGGGTCGCCCTGTGGCGCGGCTACCCGCCGCTTCGCTTCGCCCCGTACCTAAGGGCAGTCTTGCCGCTCTTCTATTTCCACGCCCTGCGCGAGTGCACCATGGGCATTTCCGCCGTCCTGCTCCCCTTCCTCGACGTCGTCACCTTTGTCGCGCTCTTCGTCCTCATCTTCGGCTGGCTTGTTACCCTCCTGTTTCACGACGTCCCCGAGGCTAATCGCTACTTTGGCGACCTCACCGTCGGCCTGTATTCCGCATTCACCTCCATCACCACCGCGGATTGGCCCATGCAGATCATGGCCGTGCTGGATGTGTCGCGCGCCAGCGCCATTCTCTTTCTCGTCTTTATTGTCATCGGAGTCTTCTTGCTGTTTAATGTCATGCTCGCTGTCGTCTACAACGCTTACACAGGACATATAGAGGAGCTCGTCGTCGGAAAGATCATGTCGCGGAGGGAGAGCATCGGCCTGGCGTATGATATCCTCACCCCTGGTGAGGGCATGGTCACGCTTCCGGACTTGAGGTTGATGTTTGACGAATTGAGGAAGAACAAGAGCATGAGCGAGTATGACAACCAGCGCGTAGACTTCGTCTTCACGGCACTTGACGACGATCACGATCAAAATCTCAGCCGCGTTGAGTTTCTCGACATGGTCGAGGTGCTGCAGCTCAAGTTTATCATCGAACTGGAGAACGCATCCCTGGTGCAGAGATGGATGCCGCAGTTTTATGAGTCGGACCTGTGGCAGAATGTCGCCACGTACATAAGGTCACGGGCGTTCACGTATCACATTTGCGTCGTCATGATTGTGAATATTGCAGTCGTGTTGCTGGAGACGACGATGGATCTACAGAACAAGGACACTCCTGAAAGCGTGCGATTCTTCGCGCTTGTCGAGTGCGGCTTCTCCTTGGTCTACATTGTCGAGATGGTGCTCAAGGTCGCGAGCCAAGGCTTTGACCGCTACTGGCGTGACTATGGCAACCGCTTCGACTTTGCCGTCACGTGGCTGCTGTTGTTTGGCGCGGGTTATGTGCTGTACCCCTACTCGGAAAATGATCCTGACATTGTCCGGTATCTCATCCTGCTCAGATGCTTGAGGTTATTCGCCGTCATGGCGGATATGCCACGCTTCCGACGCCTTGTGCAAGTGTTTTCGATTTTGATCCCAGCTTCGGTCCCGCTCTTTTCTTTCTTCTTCCTCACGCTCTACGTCTTCGCCGCTGCGGGGGTAGAATTATTCGGAGGTTTGGTCTACGCGTCAAACCCGGCGCTGGATCCGGACAACAACTTCCTCGTCGATGCGTACGTCTCCAATGACTACTGGGCGCTCAATTTTAACGACATGGCGTCCGGTTGGTACACGCTTTTCTCATCCGTCATCGTTGGTTACCTGACCGAGGTGGCCGAGGCGATGGCTTCGGCATCCCGGTTCGGCAACTGGACCAAATGGTTTTTCATCTTCAGCTTTGTCGTCAACAGTCTTATCGTCTCCAACTGCGTCGTCGCCTTTGTCGTAGACCTCTTCATCATGGAAGACGAGCAGGATGACACGACGTTCCACGCCGACATGGAGAAGAGGTACGGCTCGAAGAGAGTGAAGGTGCTGCAGCAGAAGAGCAGTGCCGACCAGGTGTACGCCTCCATGTTCAGGGAACGTGTGCAAGAAATTATGACCAGTGGGACTTCCGGAACAAGCGCGTAGTAGCCTTTCGTACGGGTGTTACTTCGCGATTTTGAATGTGTATTGTAGTTCTATGTTTAAACTTGGGGCATTGTGTTGGAAGATTTCCCCTACTAGCAACCTCAGAATGCAATCAGAATGTGTTAGTGCGTCAGCACAGGCCACATATCGCAAGCAAGAGACCTTTCTTTTTGTGTTTTTCTAAACTGCAGGGGTAGCTTCTGCCAGGGCTGCTTTTCGTCATGCCTCTGTGTCGAAATAAACACATTCACTTTTCTGTGAATGTTTGAAAAAAACGCTAGCCCGAAAAGAAGAGTGAGCACGAATTATAGTCTTAAAGTGCAGTAGCATCGCGATACAGCATATGGTTCACTTGCTTCGTTTCTAAGTGACCCAGTCCACATGTGCTATTGTACCACCGAGCATTGCTACCGAGGAGACGGTGCTAAGGGTGAGAGTAGATGGTTGCCCTAGTTGCGGTTCGGCTGCTACAAGACCTCCAGAACTACGACAACCAGACCACTCCTGGATTTAAACTACTGAGAGGTGGTGAAACCATTTTTGCAGTAGAGATCTCTAAACAACAAGCAACATGCGATTTGCAAGGCCGAATTTTTCTTTGCAAAAAATATATATATTATTAATCCGAAGGATCACTGAGTCAAGTTGGACACTACTTCTTTAACATACTCGCCCTCGGCAATAACATATTGCAGAACATCGGGATAGCAGTTTTGAATACACAGCAAGACTGAGAATCTAATGCAGTTTCAATTCCTGGTTGACTTTTTAAAAGGGGTCTTTTGGCTTCGAAGATATCAACACAAAACGATTCATGGTTGCTCAGAAAAGCTTCTTTTCCAAGCATTTCTAAGAACGACCGGAAAGGACGTGCAGCTCTCACATAAATCCATCCCTCGACAACGCAGGAGTCAACTGGGGTGGCGAGGGAATCTTTTTTTTTTTTCTTCTTATTGAAAGGGAAGAAGTTGAGCAAAAATATGTTGATTAGTAAGCCCCCTATGAAGTCAATCGGCCTCATATGGCGTCACTTATCATCTAGACAATAGTGCTGATCATATCGCTTGAATTGACATGAAATCGTGCTGCAATCTAATTCTGGCACTACTCTGCCTCACGCCCGGGAACCAGCAGCATTACATATTCCGTATCTGTTCTCGGGGGGCTATTGATAGCTGATATCAGCGGGCTTGGTGATACGGTGGTGTACTGCCACCCATAAGGTCTCTCCGAAACTTGTTTGCTATATTGAAGGCATGACTTAAAACATACACCACAAGGATCTCACAGAACACGCAACCCAGCGGGGCGTTTGGCGAAACCCTATGGTCATTCTGATAAGTCGTCGAAATCAGGGGTGGATTTCTAAACTCGGTTTTGGCACGTCATTCGTCTGAGAGTTCATGTTCAGTGGACTGTGGATGCATGCTTTCGAGGAGACTTGAAGACCAGATCTGGTGGTAGAAGCTGGCATGTTAAATACACGTACAGGGTATGTGCTTTGCTGCCTGACAAGCCAAAATACAGAACTCTTGAAGCGAAACAACGAACCAGGACAATTTTACTTGCCGAACCGTACAGAGCCTTACATATGAAATTGCTTGAAAATAAATCAATTATATAGAGATTTAAAGAAATATATATATAATAATGCTGGAATGAAAGGTAAAATAACATTGGATGCCACATGCAGAACGCCACTTGTCCAATGACTGGTTCATCCCTTTAGAAAGATGTGGCTTCCTTGTCATGGACGAGCGCTACATTACCCCCGCAGAACAGATCGGCCGCTTCGTCCATTTCGGGACGGCACGGTTTGACTCACTGCGGTTTGCATCTCAGCCTCCTTCTACACCATATCCGTCGATGAGGAGACTCCAAGCCATCGAAGCTGCACTCAGGAAACTCTTTGCGAGGCCTTCCTGGCCCGTTATGTCGTAGTCTTCAGTCCTGTTGCGCCACTCATCTCACCACTCATCTAACAACGACGTATCTCAACTCTCCATAAACCGAATTCACAATCAACATGACAGACACTCAGTTGAAGACGATAGAGACTACAATCTTGCGAATATGCGAGCAGAACCAGCAAGGAATGACCGACAAGGAGGTCACGGCCAAGCTTCATTTCGACACCAAAGCCAAGATCCGAATCGCCGCGTACAACAAGCTACTCGCTAAAGGTCGTATCCGCCTAGCGGCACGGGTCACTGGCACTGGAGAAAACCGCAAACAGCAGGTCTTGTATCAATGGGTTAGCGCAGAGGATGCCGAAAAGTTTAAAGGCCTCGATGCATCCGATCGGATGGTCCTCGATCTGGTCGTGAAAGGCGGCCAGAATGGCGCCACTAAAAAGGAGATGAAGTTTAGGACAAACATTCAAAGCAACACCGAGCTCAAGCAGATTCTTGAGAGGCTTATTTCGAGAAATCTTATCAAAGAGATCAAGTCGGTCCAAGGTACAAACAAACGCATCTATATCAAAGCTGGATTGGAACCGTCCACTTTGCACACCGGTGGTCCGTGGTACAACGATGACCAAGAGTTTGACACTGTGTTTATCGAGGCCATCTATGAGCAAGTTCTCGCTTTTATCAAGAAGACAAACTACGTCACAGTCGATCAAGTCACCAGCTACGTCGCGGAAATCAAGCTTTCCAATGAGGAATTGTCCCACAGTGATATCAAGTCCCTCATGAATACCATGCTCTACGATACTGTAATAGAGCTTTGCGAGGGCAAGGGCGATGGCCATGAATACTTTCGCCATGTACAACCCACACCAGCTGTCAATCACCTCGCGTCCATACCATGTGGATCGTGTCCAGTTTTTCATGATTGCGTTCCGGGAGGTGTCATTTCCCCACAAACATGTGTATACATGGGAGACTGGTTGAAATCCGTCACAGATTGGTGATCTTAACTTTGAAGCAGCCACGGCGCTGAGTTTTTTTTTTTTTTAGTGTTCTATCCTGCATCTTCTTTGCGCATTAATTCGGATGTCCCACACCGTATTAAGGCGAATGAGCTGACAATGTTGGATAGTGAGGCGTTGGCTGCCGCATTAATATCATTCGCTTCTTCTCTCACGAAGATGAGCCACATCCAAACAAAGAGTTTTCAATTGAGCCATACCTGATAGGCATTTCGACTGTTCCGACTTTGATCAAATTGTTTCAAGTGTTCTGCTAACATCGCGATGAAACAGAAGCGAGCCGCGGCGTGCGTCTTGGTTCTGCTTCTATCTACTATCACAGCTTCAAGCACTGGCCCAAATACTATATCCGCATTCAAAGCGATGTCACTCATGTATCGTCTGCCTTCGGAATTTTGGCGACAACGCAGCTTAGATGTCATGAACGGATACAAGATTCTCGGTGCACTTGGAACGGCGCGTGACGTGCGCGATGCGGTATGTCGTGAAATGGATGGTATTTGTAGCCCCAGAAGGAGTCATGGTGACTTCGAGAGCGGTCACGGAGAGACAGCAAATGTTGTAGAACAGAAGGAAGACTCGCTAGTAAGGTCTGGAAGAAGCAATGGTTGTGGGCGTGGCGTGGCAAGGGACGGGCATTGTGTGTGCCCTATTGACTATTTTGGCGAACGCTGCGATCGGCCTCGTAATTTTCATTGTCACTTCTTGCGAGTGATCCCTGCTAAATGTGATATTGAGGCAAGTCCTATGTTCGATCCACGACTAGACGGAGATGCCCCCTGCATATCCTATTCTCGAGGTAGCGATAAACCATTATTGCTAGGCTACAAACTGTCCTGCACTCTCAACACCTTGCTTAACGGGCCAGAAAAGCAGGCCGGCACAATGCTGTTCAAATACGTTCTGCAGAAGGATACTCTTGACGATGACAACTTGTTTGCACTCTCTGAGATACCAGAAGACGAAGTTTTGTTCCGTCCTTTCAACTGGGATAGACCATTCTCAGATCACAACTTTTCGGAAAGCGTGCGGGTGACGAAGGGAATGTTGTTGGGAACGGAAGCCGTACGCTTTTCTGTGCCAGTGGCGGATATGCTTCGTGCATCCCCCGGATACAGTAGGGGCGGCCGCTTGTTTGCTGAGGTTCGCCTCCTCGGAAAGGGCGGTTCACGTATCTCTACGGCTACTGATTGTTGGCGATGCATCGGGAGAGCCTTTGTAGAGATATTTCCTTGAGCACAGTACCGTGCAGCGGGATTCTCATTTACATATGACGACGAGTGTGTTGCGTGCTTCGGGTAATTCGGAAGCCCTTGTATGTGCGTATGTACATCAGAGAGAGATTGTTCCAATGAAGCAAAAGCGGGGCATTGAATATAAGCACTGCCCAGACAGCGCGACACACTCGAAACCGCGTTTTGTTCAGCTTCAAGCGCGTCATTAAACAACTGACTACCTACTGTTGCACAGTACTTGTATCCCGCATTCTAACCTTCAGCTAGCAAAAACTGTGCCACTCCTCTGAATCTCCCTCGACACGTTTTATTGTGTGGGCCACCACCGCCGCACAAAATGATTGTCGAGTGTGCGTACCCAACCTTATTAGCTGTCGGTGTGCGGAGACATATTTGGCTTCGGAGCCCCCGTTGTTGCCCTGTTGCACCACTAGGATATGACTCCCACTATACCGAATCCCACTGTGTTGGCGCGGTCTACATATTTACCGCTGCATCAGAAGTGTGCATACTTTAGGTTATCTTTGTAACGTTTATCTGTCCGCCGACGCATGCCTGAACTTGTGTGTTGTCAAATCAGCATTTCTCTTCGGAAAGAGAACTCACGTTCCTGTGCTCAGATGGTAGACTAGGCGAGTCCCGAGGCATTCCTTCCCTGAACTCTTGGACCCTCCATTCTAGGTAGGGGCTGAAGTGTTATTGTTGACTCTGGAAGCTGTGATTTTTGCGGATCATAAACGAGTTGCTTGCGATGAATTTTTTTCATGCTTATACCCATGACCAGCCCGACTACAGCAAGCACCACGAGAAGCCCCCCGCACACACAAGCAATAACGATTGTAAACGGAAACTTGACCTCAGGCGTCGTATTGCTCTTGGTAGTGTCTGGCACAGGTGATGGTGTTGCCTTCTGACTTGCTGCAAACGAGACAGACGTCTTCCACAAGGCTGGGAACCCAAAATATCCAATGCTGATATAAAACTGGTTTGTGGTCTCGTTGCTCTCTTTTGCAACGTAGTAGACGCCGCTATTTCCTGCATCCATTGTGACACTCGCTATTTCCGCCCAACTATTTTCTGTCCGCAGCAGCATCTGCTTTGCATCCGTCAAAGATGCGTCAACAGGGTCCACCACTGCAAGAAAAGGAGCTAAAATACCTCTCTTCGCAGCCGCAGGTGCAAATATACCAGCAGTATAACCACAAATTATTAAGCGACCCGTTTCTGGATCGATGATCATTCCAGATGCGTAGTCATGACTTCCGTCCTCAGACTGTATTCGCTTTGTGTATTCATCCGTCCCGACCTCATCAATGTCTACTGCTTGCGAGCCGATTTCAGAGTTGTCAAATGCTCGGACGACCCTCTTTACGAAAACATCATACCCGTTTCTTGTAGTGAGCCATGACGACCCCGACCCGAAAAGAGTATTAGGAAGGATTGGATGCACTCGAAAAGAAACTAGCTGTTCTCTGGAATAAGTTTGCAATAGAAGATCGCCTAGAGGGGATAGGGATTTCCTAAACTTGTACATATGGAAGTTTCCAAAGGCGTACTGTCCAATTTGCCGTTCTGTAGTCACGGACACGAACAAAGGGCCATCTTCTTTGTCTGGTAAAACAATTGCAGTTGCGTGGTCCGCAAACTCGGTCCCGAATTGGCGCTTGTGAATCACAGATCCATTTGCAGCGTGAAAAGAGAACAGAATAGCGTCAGATAAACCGGTAGCATTCTCTTCTCGACCGGGAAAAAGGTTGCCGCTGGTGAAACCACAAGCATAGATGATATTTTCGTCTTTTGGATCGATTGCAAGGGCCGTCACTGCATCTGATGCCGTCGTACCCAGTATCAAAGGAACAGGCCATAGCTTTGTTGGCTTCGCACCGGAAACGTCATACTTGATAATGAAGATATCCGACTGTCCTTTCCTTACTGTCCCTGAGAATTGCCCATACGTCCTCCCAGCGATATATGCTTCATCCCTGCTCTTACTCATGAGCATAGCATGAATTCTGTCCTCCTTAGATGTGCCTCCTCGATAAACCCACTCAACAAAGCTCTGATTTCCATTAATCTTGGCAATAAAAAAGTCCTCTTGCCGAAGTCCAGCAACCAGTGGAATACCTAAATCACTTTCATCCATCCTTTGCTGCGGAGAGGATGTCCCGCCGACTATGATTGACCCATCTGACATCGTCAAGACATGAGAGGGCACATCGTTACTGTTTGTTTCCCTTCCAATGAAAGCTAGCGGAACGAAAGCTCCAGGTTCCAATATATCACCTGCAACCTGTGACGTTCTTGCGACACAAAGCAGACTTACTAGTAGAAGCATCCGCATTTTCCATCTTGGCAACAGTTCCAACCAGGTGTTTGCATAAGACCATTCTAGCAAGCAACGTGGCTTGGCAGCGATTCTGTATATAATGTGATCACATGGCACTTGGAGCATCATTACAATATGGGCGCTTCTTTCCTTGCTTCGATAAGGCGCTTGATGCAGTTTTTTTTGCGCACTTCTACACATGAACGGGAGTTTTGCCTCAGATCATAGACTTTAGTGGCTCCCTGCAATGTTAAAGCCAGAACAACAAAACTTCTGACAGGATGAGCAGGGTTCAAAGTTCGCACCACTTGTGACGTGTTTGCGTCGACGAAAGCAATCCTCTCGACTAGTGGGGGGTAGTAAAATATCTTTTAGTTGCAAATGAATCCGATACATGCTTATCTGTACTATTCGTTGCAGCATCCGGACGGACATGCCTTTCTGAAGCACTCCGAGGTCGACACACAAATCGGGAAATTGAGCAAATGTCGGCACGATCACCAGCCGTGAAAAAATAAAAAGAACCAGGCCCAGTTGTCCTTCTTCAATAACAATATAGCTCAATGTCAGCAGCCACGGAGCTAAGTTTCCACTTATACACTGTCCTACCGGTATTTATTCCACGTCCGATTTCAGGGAAACAAGAAACGGAACCAAGTCTGATCTTCCCACTTTACTCAATACTGTACGCGTAGTATATTCCACACAAGAGGTGCCTGTGACTTGTTAGTTTGCTGCTATGTGCTATTTTCCGCGACGAGGGCCCACAAACATTGCATAGTGTCTTCTCGGGGCGCTCGAATATTTGTGCCGACTCAGTTCCCCAAGAATGGCGCTGAGCGCTCCGCCTCGGTGTTCGCCATACCAGAATAGCGACCAGATGCGCTCCATCAGTTTGAGTCTCTTCAAGATTTCCTCTGCAGGAATCGCGCGAAGAATCTCATTCAAAGAAAAGACGTCGTTCGGGCGCACCCACACGACAAGCTCGTCATAGGGGATTGCATCTTCAAAGGCGAGCTCTTGCCTTTCGGACAACACGACAGGGATGCAACCAAGAAGGATACCGTAGTACGGCCTTGGGCTCCAGGGGTGCCATCCCTCTGGGGCGAGACAGAACATAGAATCGCGCATGTCGTCTAGATACGCATTGGATCGCGTTCCCGTTATACGAAAGCCCGCGGTATCATACAACTCGGACGCTAGGTATTGCCGGACACCGCCTGAGTAGTTGCTTCCACGGTGATCAGAAATCTTGGAAGAAAACGCCTGTCCGCCAAACTGCGCAAGGAACCGTCGCCGCTCCAAAATGAGAGATTCGCGCCGCTTCTTGTCTACGTATACAGGCGTGATGTAGTGGCCCAGATTGGGGGGGATGACGATATCTTTTCGGGGCGTGTACTCCTCAGATGTGAAATCTCCATTGTGAGTCAGGAAAATCCCGTTTCGCCAGCTCTTCCAGTTGACACCAGACAGCCTCGCGCCAAAGCCTTGCGTAAACGTGTAGACATGATCTCTCCCATGCGAGGTATTGAAATAGGTATACTTGTGAACGATATGGCTCATCGCCTCATCAAAGAACATTCCAGTTTTGGTAAGGTTATTCGGATGGTTGTTAATGAGATAGCACGTGACATAAATTGGGACGTAGAAGAAGTCGGCCTGCGCCGGGTTCATTGTCCGTGCTGGGGACGCCAGCAGGCCCTTGTGCACCGAAACCTCGGCGCTGTAGAAATTCTCATCGCAGTACGGGTCGCGAATCGGGGCTGGTTGCTGATGGCTCCTTGCGACCTGAAGCGTGTTAAACTTAGGCGGCAAGTTGTACACGAACACGCGCACGTCACGATGGCCTGCTGTGGCACTCGCGAAGATGCGGCTCCCTTTGTGCTCCGCGGAGAGATGGCCTCTATTCGCGACGTCCGCCAGCGAATCCGTGAGACGTGTTGGGGCGCCTACGAACCGGCAGATGCGGATGGAGATCAGCAGCAGCAGAAGGGCGTGGAAGATCGTGCGCATGCGCGTCACTCCGAGGTTGCCGCATCGCGCCAGGAGGGATGCCATCGCGCGGCGGGGGGCCGGAAGGAGGGAACCCGGCCGGGATGTTGCGCTGCGCCTCGTGCTCGACGTAAGCAGGTACCTTCACTGCATGCGGACGCTTTCGGTTGTGCAAACACCCTCGTCGCTGCGGTATGGTCTGTCCGCGGTGTGCATGGGACCGAGCGCCGGACAAGCGCAACCGTCGATGGGTTCGGAAGCTGTTTCCCATGGCGGACGAGAGAGGATATTAGGCAAACGCATCTCTGGATACACGGCTGCGGCGCGTGGGCAACAAAAGATGCGAGCGGCGGGCCGAGTCGGTCCGAAGGTGATCGGTGCTGACTGGTACGTTGTGGTGGGTGTGTCCGACAGGGGCCTTTTTTGCGACTTTTCTGCTATTCTCAAACCCCTCTACCTCGCAAAGGCCCGATATTCTACCACTCCCGCAGGCTCAAGCCAACGCAGTAGTGGCACCGCCCTGCATGCACCACACACGTCCCCCACGCCCATGAAGCGACGACCATGCCGCTGAGCACTCTCCCACCACCCCTTCCGCGTTGGCACCGCCTCCAGCAGATCCGTTGCTCCTCTCCACTTCTCTGGGCCCATCTGTACTACTGAAGTGCGTGTTGGACACTAACTAGGGTGAAGCTGGCGGGGTGGGAGCTCGCTCTAGCAGGCAGCGGGTGATGTCGTGGTACAGCATTGCCGAGGCATCTGCGTGTGGAGTATACGGTGGCGGGGGCATACTGCGATGGCGACTGGGGCGGTGCGGGCGTGGTCGGGGGGTGTAGGGCGGGGCGAATGGCGCACGTGGAGAGGAGGGTGGACGTGTGTGGGATGGGGTTGGGAATCTTGGGACTGTACTGTAGATGGATAGCCTCGACGTGGGGGGGGGGGGGGGGGTTGCCCCCTCGGTATTGCCCTA